ACTTCCATTGACGAGAATCTCATTACCTACAAAGTCGTTATTTCCTGTCATCTTGTTTTATTTTTTTCACAGTGATGTGAAAATGCATTCCGGTAACTTCTACCTTTCAGTCTTTGTTCTGGGTTTGGACAGGAACCCTTGAACAGACTATCTGATCCAGACTGAAAGAGAATTTCTGGCACATGGGATTCTCGACCTGCCCTGAGAAGGCTCACATTTTGACCAAATTGTGGGAAGAAATAAAACCCCAAAATCATTGTGCTCAAAGTTTGTCTGGAATCTTTAACAGGGAAGGGCTATCACTTCAGGTTTTCACTTTAAAAAAAAAAAAAGGCCCCTGGAGGAACAGGTTAATTAACCAATCAGAGAATGAGCTGCTTCTCCAGACACGGCTCCACAGAGGCTAATTTCATGTCAACTTGATCTCATTGTAGAGTCTCGAAATCTCAAATGTTCAAGGACAATAGCTACAAGAAAAAAAGCATTTCTATAACTTGGAATGAAACTGGAATGAGATGCAGTGGCAGCTGTCCTTGGTCTGGAGCTGGTTAATTTGAACAGCCGTTTCCTTCCCAACCTGGTCCCTATTGTTCTGAAGCGCTCTCCCTCTTGGACTGTGACCCTGTCTACTTTTGATGACAATCACTTAATCAGCGCATCAGATTGCCGCACGGCTGGTTTTACCTTGGGTAAAGATTCATTTTCCTTATTAACATCACAAGAACCTATTTCTTTCCCCAACCAATTAAAGAGGAAAAATAGAAGGGCCCGGTGCAATAGAGGGAAAAGAAAACTGTTCCGACTTGTGGCACCTGCTCAGGTCACTCAGCCCCACGTGGCCCTAGGAATCAAGTTGTCACGATTCTGAGACGTGATCAGAGGTCAGGACCACGCAGGCAAAATACACAAGTTGGAATAACGGTGACAGACACTGCTCACTGCCCACATACCAAACAGTTCACCCAGGTTCGGAAGGAGCCAGCGATGGTTGATCTGGCCTGTGGGTGTGTCAGTGTGCATTACAGAGAGCAGATGTCCCGACAGCCTGTGTTCAGCACATAATCACAACAGAGCACCAGTAGCATTTAACTTCCCTTCTCTATTCCCTGCTAATACAAAGGTTGACTTCTCCCTTGTATTTCGCCTGACCACTCTGTTGGCAAAATACGTTAGCATCTGCTACATCTATTTATAATAAAAGAGATGCCTGCCTGAGTCTACTGCGGTTCCTAGGGATTCTGACCTAATAAGAATTCTATGGTTCGTTCCTTCATGCTCTGGTGCTATAGCCAACGGATGACTTTTTTATGTTAAATCCTTAACTTTAATAAAGGGTGATGGCAGGTCATAGGCAGGTGGCAGGTGATAGGAACAGCCCATGGTAAGGCCATGTTTAAAGAGTAAACCTATTCTGACCACACAATGTGCATCTTGCCTTACTTATAGGAGTAAATGGGACCTAATCCAAATAATATATTCCAACGATATACATGGAGATCGTGGTCAATTGGGATTCAAAGTATATATCTTATCCATGCAATTCTGTAGATTTTAGCCATACCTTTATGGAACTTGTTCAAATGAGAAAACACAAGAATCATTGCTTGGTAGAATCAAGTGAGCTGTTAAGTTAGCTCTGACAGTCAACACTGAAATATCATACCTTATATGAAAGTCTGTGGCAAAATGTACGAAATTTCCACAGATAAGTAATTTGGTTGCAAGTTTCGGCAACGCACTTGACCAGACATGGCTAGATACTGGTATTTCAACTTGATGGAGTTTTAGAAGTCCATGCTTTGGGCTCCTCCCTTTCTTCCCTACCTATTCTCTTGCTTCCTTCAATATAATAAATGTGATCCACCAATTCTAACATGAATTGTTCAGTGGACTATTTGCAGTGACCTCAAGAAAACCACCTCACTGTGACCTTTTGAAAATAGGCCCCAGACAACCTACGTACCCAACACTAACCACTCCTCATTCTGCCTCTCCCCAAACTTCCCGATGCATTATTTACTGACTATGTGCCATTTCATTCTTATTTATTTTCTATTTTCAAAACATAGCATTTGAGGCTCTGCTTGGAAAGGACCAAAGAGCCTCCCTTTCCTCTCTGTCAGTATCCCTGAGGAGGAGGCTGATTCTGAGCTTGTAAATTGTGGCATTTACTTTAAATGAAATGACAGGAGTGTCTGTTCCAACTAAGAGACTAAACTCCCCGAAACAGCTCTGGGGCCAGAGGTTGAAAAGCATAAGAAGCAATTATGCGCCTACAAACATCTCTCTCGCTTCCCAATAGCAAGTCTCCCAACCAAGGGATATTTGGCTTTTCTTTTTGCAAAATCTTGAGCGAACAAAAGCAGGAGGAGATGACACATGACTGACTGATAGAGCCACCGAGCCCTTACTTCTCACAAGGAAGGCTCTGGGGATCTAGATCTTTAAAACTTAGGTAGCACAAACTCTAAAGCCACAGGACATCTGAATTTGGCACACGGGACTTCCCCACACCAGCACCCTCTTCATTTTGAGAGCTTCACGTGACATACATTTGCACGTTCTCTGTGTCCCTCAGGAACTCCTGTATGTCAGCTCTCAGAGATGTGAAACTTGAGCCTAACACTCCAAGTCACAGAAACACCTTTTTCTAATACTCCTCTCCCCCAGGGCTGGCTCCACGAAGCTCCTGCATTCTCCTGCTGGCCACATCCTCGCCCTTCTCCACTGACACCAAAGCTGTCACCTGCCCATCTCATTTTCAAAGGCCCCAGAGACACCTCCCCTCATCTGTTTTCTTCACGCCGCTGCACTCTGTGGCCTCTGCACCTTCTCTCTTTCTCTCGCCCCTGACAGCCTTCAAGCCCCCGCTGGTGCCCCTTCTAACCTGCCTCCCTCGTCTCCCTTCTGTCCATCTGCACTTGAGCTGTCCTCATTCAGGGCTCAGCTCTTTTTCTGCAAAGGGCCAGACGACAACTGGCTTGGTGGGCCACGGAAAGGGTGCCAAACTGAAGTACCAGGCTGACAGGATGCCAGCAGGTGGGCGTGGTGGTCCTCTACCAACACTTTGCTTATGGACACTGACATTTGAGTTTCACAGAACTGTCGCATCATGAAATATTTTTTCTTGGATTTGTCAACCCCTCAAATATGTAAAAACAATTCTTAGCTTATGAGCGATAGGAGAAGAGGCATCAGGACAGGTTTGGCTTCCAGGCTGCGGTTGGCCCACCCCTGCCCTAATCCATCTGGACTCCCCTCTTGTGAACCATTTGCAGGGTAAGGATGGGTTATAGGTAGGGGAGAGCCATCAGGAATCACTGTGGGGACACTAACCCTGCTGTCCCCCTAACTCCCAGATGTGGTGACAGGGGACCAAAGGGGTGAGATGTTGGATTGTATGAATGGGGAGAAAGTAGGATTCCCTACCTCAAGGTTGTGGATTGGCAAGAGCTTTGGAGTGGGCGGGGGGCGGGGATAGAGGCCAGTGGGGAGATGGGGGTGAGGAAAGGTCTTTATTTAAATCACTGCACATGCAAAAGCACATCAAGAGGAACACCCCTGAGGAGTGCCAGCTATTGTCAGAGCTCTCTTGGTCTTGGACTATGCATCCCTCCCTGAAAGTCCTGTGAATTGTCCCTCTGCAGGGGACTGAAGATGAGAGAGGCTGCAGGGGAAGCAGGGCCTGGAGCGTCATTGAGAGATTGCAAAAACAATTCACTGCCAACAGACTGTCCCAGCAGGGTCCCAGTGCTATGGTCGTGGGCCTGATTGGCACGCTGCCCCTCGGACGTCCAATTAGATGGAACTGGGGGAAATCAAATGCAGAGTCAATTCACTTTATCTCTGCTTCACCACCCGAATGAACAGCATGGGAAACTGAGTCTGATCTTATCAGTCAGCGCTGGGCAAGTGCCTCCCCCTGGGTCTCTCTCTAGGTAGACCAAGCTCTGCAGGGAGTTCTGGGCGAGGATAGAGGGGAGGGTCCAAACTTGATGGTTGGAATCAAAAGTAATGTCAAGGGGCTAACACTAGTTGATTGAAAACTTCCCCAAGAGTTTCCACACAGGTAAGTGGATTAGCCACTTGGCATGAAATGGATTGTAGGACTGACCTAATTAAACAACAATAGTAAAAAATAGAGGTAAAATGACATTCAGGTTCACAGCTTTATCATCCTAACTGTCTGAGAGATGTGGAGAGCCATAAAGCAGAGGCTTCTCCTAAAGGGAGACTTAGCTACATTCAAACCAGTAGTGACCTCCTAAAACCACAATCATGGCAAAAAACAAACAAAACTAAAAATGAAGAAACTTCGAAACTACTACTTCTTGCTAAAGAACCTGACCTTTAAAAAATATTCTTGGTCAAGAAACTTACATGTAAGGATCTGGCCAAAGAGTGAAATGGGACCAGTGGAGGAGACATTTGCTGGTAGGGGTGCTGATGGGAGGCCAGGAGCCCCTCCACGCAGCCCTGCATAGCAAGAGGATGCCCATATCCCTGATGGGGCCCCTTGGTTACCAGGGGACCTGAAAGTCCTGCCAGCATCTAGCCTGTCTAAAGTAAGTGTGTTCACATTGTTGCCAGCCAGCAATGATCCAGGGATCCAGCCAGCTGGGAGACCATTTGGAAAGGCAAGACTTGCAGACCACAGTGATTTGGGATGCTTGCAGTCTCCAGGCGCTGACCATTTCCCATGCGTGTGCATTTCTCCCTCCCCAAGATAGGGAATTGGGATTTTTTTTTTTTTTTTAATCTGGACTGGTCCCTTTATTCCCAACCTGGGATCTTTGAAAGAAGGAAAAGCCTTTTCCAGTGAGGGACCCTGCTTTTCCCTTTCTCTGTCCCCGTGGAGATTTGGAGAGGCAGCAGGAATGTGGGAGAGCACTCGTGTCCCTGAGGGAACAGCCAGTTGCAATGCACGACCGTCACTATAGATCTACGATTTATGAAAATAAAGCAATATGTGCCTGTTTCGGTGCCTGCCGTTTGCCTACCAATGGTGCAGTGTTCACCATTCCAGCCCTCTCGGCATTCACATTTGCCATCTTTACAGGTCCCGTGCTCAATGCAGCGGGGGTGGCACACGCGCTGGTCACAAGCTGCGCCTGTCCAGCCCTCTTCACAGCGGCAGGCTCCCCCGATGCAGACGCCGTGAGTACCACAGTCTACTGAGCACACTTCTGGAAGAAAAACAATGATTACAGCTCAACACAGCAGCTGGCGAAACCCTTCAGGGAAGCCAGACCACATACATCTGGGCCCCCGGAGCAGGCCCTGAGGCCCAGCAGCTATGACACCTTGGGAAGCTTGTGTGTCCGCTGGCTGGGGATCAATCACTGTTAGGAGTAGTCTAGAGTAGTGGTTCTCAAAGTGTGGTCCCTGGACCAGCAGCATCCCCATCACCTGGGAATCTATTAGAAATGCAAACTCTTGTGCCCAGGTTGGACCACGTGAATGAGGAACTCTGGGAGTGGGGCTTACAAGTTCATCTTACCAAGTCCTCTGGGAGGGTTAGGTACTGGTGGGTGACCGTTCTCTTCTGGAGATGGAGACTGTCCCTAGAGGAGGCCAGAGGTACACACCTGAAAAGGGGTCTGGTAGATCCTGACTCCCTAGCCAGATGGACCTTTTCTTCCCTTGAACTGCCCAGGCCCCTGTGACCTGTCGGGGACCCTTCTGCTCCATCCCTACGATGACCGCAGACCCCTGCGTTCCCCACGGCACCTGGCGGCAATGCTGACCGCCATAACCATGCTGCACTTAAACAGCCTCTTTCTCGAAGGAGCTCAAAGTCTTTTGTGGTTGGGAAGGAGACAGACAGACAGATATGCACTCTCTGGTGTTCCAGACCTCTCACGCGAGGACAAGCACGTGCCAGACATCCATCCTTACAACAGTCTACTGGGAGGGGGGGAGTGGCTCGTCATGCCAGGGGAGGGGGGACAGACCGGGGGCGGTCGGTGACTCACGCAAAGTCACACAGCGTGTCTGTGGCAGAGCTGGGCCTTGCGTCTAGGACTCTCGCCTCCCCCATCCTCTGCAGAGACTCAAAGAAGCCAGAGTCGAGGGGTCTGAGAACACATCCCAAAATAGCCCATTTTGAACTGACTCTCCCTTTTTTTTTTCTTTTCCTTTTTGGAATGAAATATTCATTTCTTTCCCATTGTGGAGAACGCCTCACACATCTTCCTCTCCTGATTGCCATGGCAATCTGACAGCTGTCTCTCTACCCAGAGGAAGGGGCGACAAGACGATGGCTCCCTGGATGGGGGGGGGCTCATCCGTGTGAACCCAGCCTTTCTCAGGGAGGCTGGGGCCGGCGTGAACTGTTGAACTGTTCCCTCTCTAAGGTCACTTGGGAGGTAAGATGTGTACTCTTAATTTTAGGAAAATAAAGTGTACAGCGCAACTTCATTATTTTCCCGTCACCGGAGTATTATGGAGCTCTCTAATGTGTTCACACAGCACCCCGAGGGAGCCTCTCTTCTGTTTTATAGGACGTTCTATTCGGTTTGTCTGGGGCTGAATTGTTTTGTTCTCTGGTTCCTTTAGGGAGTGTACACAAGTCTATAATGCAAATGGAAGCATCCCTCCCGGGCCCCTCATCCACTCTTGGTGAGGGAACCTACCAGGCCCTAGAACCAGCGCGGTGTTTTTCTCATTGTTTCTCAAAGACCACAAACTCCGTCGCTAAGGAGAGGAGTGAGAACGGCACTGTATGATTGGCCCAAGTCCCTCCATCCCCAGCTAGTGTGAAGAGGAGAGGGCCATCCGTCTGGGCATGGGACGGCACCCTGGGCACGAGCGTTGGGAGACCGTGGAGAAAACCTTTTGGCTTACCAACGGAGCAGTCGGGACCCATCCAGTTGGGATCGCAGCTGCAGAGGCCTGAGTCGGGGAGGTATGTGCCGTGGCCACTGCACTGGTCTGGGCACTGAACCCTTGCCAGCTCACAGTTGAGACCGCCCCAGCCAGGGCTGCAAAGGCACTCTCCATTCACACAGACCCCGTGGCTGGAGCAGGTGGGATCCAGGCAGTCCACTGAGAAGAAAAAAACAAAGGAAAAGTACTCATCACTCATGGGGGATGGGCCATGGGGCAAATGGAGCAGTCCAGGTAACACCCACAGGGCCTTGAAGAGCACTCATGAAAATAAAAGGCTTTTTTATATGTCAAAAGACCAAATCTCCAATTTGGAGAGGATGCAAGAGAACAAAGAATTAGGGAGACTCCTGTAAGTTCCGAGGTGTGTCATTCAACCTTTGGAATCTTGTCTTCACAAACCTTCATACCCTGACTGTGCTGACCGGGAAATGAGCATGCTCCCAATTTCTCTGCCCGTTTGGCCAAATCCAACACTCCTCTTGCTAAGCGGGGAAAGGAGAGGCTCCCTCTAACCTCACTAACCTTTGGCTTCCAAAGGGAACACAAGACTCAAAAGAAAACCCATGAAACTCATAAACGAGTCACTTTCCATCTTAGGCTTCACTTAGGTTGAGTCTATAATTAGATTCCTGGGGCACACACATGCTGAAGGGTTAGTGAAGGGGCGGGCAGAGAGGCGGAGCTGGCGTGGAATGGATCCAGATAGGGTGGCCCTCCTACCAGGAATCATGGGTGGACTGGAAGGAGAGGTTTTTTGGTGGGGGCACTAGCCCTCCACCAGCTAGTCGGACAAGTAAAGCATCAGATTCTGAACACTGCCATTCTTGCCAGTTTCCTGGTCTATTCTTTGCCCCTCTTAATAGTCAGCGCGGCTAGACATCCAGGAGGTCACTTAAAGGAGACTGCCCAGGAACCCATTCAGGCCAATTCTTGAGGACAGGGCTTTGGCAGGAGCATGTGATCCAAGCTCCACCGGGCTTGAAGGCTTTGTCCAGGCTAGACGGCATCCTTAGGTATTCCTAGGACAAGATGTTTCGGTGGTTGGAGGAGAAAGATCTGCACAACATGGGGGTTGGATGAGGAGCTGTGCTGTAGAGGGGGCTCAGATGCTACCCTGTGGATCAGAGACACGGGGAAGGCTCATCACCTTATTTGACTAAGACTTACACAACTGTGACTTTAACAGCTTTGAAATCAGGCCTGTTGGCCTAGATCAAAGCAATGCGTCTGCCATCGCCCAGGAGGCCCAGCCAGCCTGAGACCACTTTAAGTTCTTTCGCTCAGGTATTGTGGAGCTCGCTGAATGTGTGTGTGCCACCTTGTGGTTCAAACACTCAGAGAAGATTTTGTTTTTCCTCCTTGCCCAACGCCAAGATTGAAATATGCAAGACGTTTGGTCTCTAAATAATTCACCGTTACATCGGGATGACGACCCGCGGGATCCAGCTTCTTGTAGGGTGGATTGTGACATTGCTCATTGTGGTTGTCTTTTCTTTCTCATTTAGCACAAAATTTACGGTGTGTTTTAATATTGAGAATACCTGGACTCTAAATATGACATTATTTAAATTCCCCATGCCACAATCTAAATAGATAGTCCTGGGGGATGTCAGACTTGAGGAGTTTGGATTTATTAAAAATCACAACAGTTCATGAAGCTTCCAATGAGCCCCCTTCTCTTGAGCAAAAATAGTAATTTTCAGTATTAAGAGATGTTTCTCAGGATCCCCTTTGGATATTTTCAGGGAGATAGTATTAGTGGATGTTAGTTCCAAACTGTTTGGGCCTTGGGAAAAACAATGACTTTTCTTCCCAGAAAGGTGAATTTCAGGGATTTATTGTTAGTTGGAGATGCTTATGATGATGTTACTTAATCTTGTTAACAATCACTTTGGAGTTGAATTCACTGTCTTGGGAAATATAACTCCTGACGATATAAACCCTGCCGATGCTTTCTAATCTGCTCTACTGAGGGTGGTGGAACGCGCCTGCATGTAATGGTGAGCGGACAGGTGGAAACACAGAAGATCTTACAAGGGAGCTGGGCAGCACCTGTGGGGTCTCATGCCTGGCGCAGTTCAGAGAGCAGCACGTGTTCAACCCACTATCACTGCAGAGTTTGCTGTGAGCTCTCCTCACCGGCAGGACCAACTTCCAGTGTGAAGGGCGGATTAGCAAGAGAAATGGTGCCCTTTTTTGCTTTTAGAAATAGTTTGTATTTTGGGATCTGCAAAACATGAGCTCATTCATTCAGCCCCACTGGTGTTCATATTTTTCTCATAAAGGAAATCCCCCAATTCCAGTTTTTCTTTACATGGTTCCTATATCTGACAATACAAAGTCAAAATATACACAAAAATATCGTGTGCGTTTTTGCCTCAAAAATTCCTCTCAGCCTATAATTAGCCATTTAAAATGTTTGGTAGGATACCAACAGTTAGAAACTCTCAAAAAATATATCATAATCTTTTTCTTAAAAGATAAAATAATAAAAAGGAATATACCAAAGACAGAATGAGAGAGAGAGCGAGAGAGAGAGGCAGAGAGAGAGAGCGAGAGAGGTATTTTTCTTCCAGATAAATTAGCTCTCTCTTTTCTATGCTGAATTATGGTATGAAGAAAGCAGGAAAATCCACTGAGATTTATTAGCCCAGTACTAGAATGTCATCAAAAGAACCATTTATAGTATCTAGAAATATGAGCTAACCCTTTCTCTGGTCAGCGATACCAGTAAATATGCCCTTAGTGCTATATAATTACAGTAGCTGATGGAATAACTAAATTCAAACTTGAAGAGAAGCAGTTTCACTGTGAATTTTAAATTTAGTTCCAATTTCATAAGATGGTCTTGTGGCCACGTCCTTAGAGTCTTTAGCAGGCAGAAGGGACTATGGCATTTCACGAAGCCTTATAAATAGAGACAGTGCTACACTTAAAAGCGGGGTAGTAGCCTTCAACTAGCTAAGTACCCTGTGCCTCGAGACGCAAGCCCCCTGGCAGCTGAAATCATTAGAACTCATTTAGTCTTGGGTTCTCTGTGGGTTTGGCAAAAAAGGGTTATGAATGCAATTTCTATCCCTAAGGATGAAAAAGGAGGTCAAGGAGTTTTACAAACAATATGTACTATAACCCCCTGAAGAACCATGAATTACATTTATGAAGTTAAATGTCATTGAAAAATGACTCAACCATGAAACTGACATGGGAACATGGCTGACTTCAACTAATATGTCAATTCCTCTCTCATCACCTGCCCACTCCCCCAGACGTCACCCAACACGTCCTTTTATTTTCTTGTGCAAATTTGTTAATAGCACAACCGTGTTTATGCAGCAGGAGTGGAGGATGGCAACTATTGATTTTGTTGCCTTGGCCATTTCAGGTAAATTGTTTGAACGTTATGACTATGATGAATATTAGGAATAAAAAGCTAAATGGAAGAAAAAGTGCTGATCCCGACTTTCTGATTCCATTTCCTATTTTGAAAACAGCATATGAATCACCTCGGCTCATTCTTTCTGGGTAGCAGAAATCAATAGGGGAAATTTCACAGTTTCATAAGGTTCCACGTGGCTTGCTTGTTTTGTTGGGTGCTTAATTCGCTCTGAACATTTAAATAAGGCTGGCTGGAGAGTGAGGAAGTTGAAGAACCACTTGATATTCCACTCATACAGATGTGCGCAATCTTTCCTGGAGAGAAAAACCCTAAGACGGCAGTGTTATTGCTCCAACTCTCTCCTACCAATGATGTATGCAGGAGGTCGCTGTGACCTTTCTCGTCACATTGTTGGCTTGTCCCATGTTTTCAGAGAATGCTGCTTCGCCTCCTACAATCCATTTATCTTTAAGAACTTTCACCTTTCAAGCAGGGTTATTAAATCAGTATTTTCTCCACCCAGGCTCCCAATTTGGTTTTATGATACAAACACGGGGAGGTTACCCTTTGTAATAGCGGAGGAAATAAATAGAGAAATCGAGAGAGGAAAGTCCTGGGAGTCAGGCTCTGGGGCCCTGGTAAGGACCTGGCTGCTAATGTGTGGAGAAATCTTAGGAGAACCGTGCCCTGGGAGCTCTTGGCAGCCACAGTTCTCAAAATTGTGAAATGGGGGCTTTCACAAGTGTGGGCCTATCTAAAGATCAGGCACAGTCCCTACTGTGTGGTGAGGCTGCCATGGTGGTGTATGTTGTATAGCATGCAGGCAAGCCATACACTAATGGATGGAAGAGTGGACCCACTGGCCTAACGAACCACAGAATCCTGCAAGCCCTCATTATAAGCTCATCCTATAGAAGCTCAAAGAATCAGGGAAGATTGGAACCAACAGGATTTTTTTGGGCGGACGTCCTGGGTGGTCATCTCAAGCCACCTCATGTGGAACAGGGGTGGCTCTGGATTGTCTTTTGGTTTGATGGGTGAGTTGACACTGTGTTTGCAAAACACAGTGAAGGCAAAAGAGGGCTGTTTGAATGCACAGTGCCACTTCCCTAGGGGATGGACTTAGCAGAAGGATATCAGCTGGGAGACAACTGACCCAATTCAAAGGCTGGGGAGATGATAAGGCGGGGAGAGAACCTAAGTTTTTACCTTCCTACCCAGTGTGGTTGATTCTTTATTTGGGAGAAGCAATAGGTAGGCAATTAGAGACCATGTTTGAGAAGGGCAAATACAGAGAAGGGTGTAGGCAGCTGAGCTTCCTGCCTCATTGGCGCCAAGACTTGGTCTCATCACCTTGGCACTGGAAGAACTCTCCCGAAAGACCCAACCAGAGTCATTAGGACTAGTTAGAGCTGATTTCTAAATTCTAACCCGTTCCCATGCTCTCTCCCCATTTCCCCCTCTTCTGATCTCCAAGCCTGATCTTGGATCAGCTTCAGTTTATGACATCCCTGATTCCTCCCCAGGAGGGCTGGAGGCCTTTAAACGTATGCGATCGTGGGCTATTAGGAATCCATCAGATCCCAGCCCTCTTGCCGCACAGCCTCTCCCCTCTATCTCGGTGTGATTGTGGGTAAGTGGAGTAATCTGCCCCACATGGTGTCTCTGAATGACCTGGATACCGGTAGCCTTTCGAACCAGCCTGCTTTCTACCTGATATTAATTTTTGTTGAAATATTTACCCAGAAGAATACGGACTTTAGATTACCAAGAACAAATGACAATGGCAAACCCCAAAAATCAGCTTTGAGGAAGGCGGGGGTGGGGGGGACGCAGGAATTCTCTGGATAGCTTTAGTAATTCCCAATTCAGGAGACTTCAAATAAAATAAAAGAGGGAAGAAGATAGGAGGAGGTAAAGGAAGAAAAAGCAAAAAGAAGAAGGAAGAGGAGGAGGAGGAGGAGGAGGAGGAGAGGAAACTAGAAGACAAAGGGCAATTTAAGAGAAAAACGAAGGAGCTACTGCCTGTAGAGGAGGGTAAAACAAGATTTTCCTTCTAGAACCATCTCCATAAGCCTTTTCAGTTCTACAGCTAAAGAAGTTGCTCAAAGCTTTTAAGTTTTTTTTTTCTTTTAAAATGCTAAGGCTTCTTTTGCAAAATAAGGAGCTTGGGCTCCTTGGCCAAGGGTCAGGCTGTGTGTCACCCCACCGCTGCCCTGGGCCCCTCCACTCACCTTCCTCGCAGTGCTCCCCTTTGTAGCCTGCGGAGCACACGCAGTTGCCCTCAATGCAGGAGCCGTGGCCCCCACAGGTGGGGTCAATGCACTGGTTCATAGGCACGTCACACTCGGCACCTTTCCAGCCGCTATAGCACTGGCACGTTCCTTTCGAATACTGTCCGTTCCCACTGCACAGGACGGGGCAGGCGGCTGTGGAAACCAAAGACAGGACACCAGGTCAGAGGGGCCGCCATCCGCAGGGCTGTATCAAGTCTAAGGAGGGAGAGCTTGTCTGGCACTGTGTCTTGCTTACAACTTTGTGGGCCAGGGACTGTGGCCAAGGAGGTACAGGGCCACCTTCAGATAAATAGCACTGACCACGATGCTAGATACTATTGACTCCAGCAGCTGCCACCACTGAGTGCACACGGCAGGTGCGAATCTTGACTTGGGTGTCAGAGTCACTGTTTGAGTGGAGGCTGTATTCAGGATCTCCGTTTGCAGAGGAGGCTCAGCCTAGTGAAGTCACTCACCCCTTGCATAGAGCTCAAATGGAAACCAGTTTGGCCTCCTCCAAAGCTGTGCCCTTACCAAAGCTACCCTGACTTCCTCTTGTTATTGTTGTTGGCCTGGGGATCAGAATCCATTCTGCTAATTATTTCACCCTCAGATCCATCAACTCCTTTGTGACAAGCTGAAGTGATGGGACACAATGGAGTCAGGAGATCTCTCTGTGCCTCAGTTTCTTACTTATACCTTGAAGAAATCACTGTGCCTACTTTAAAGAGCAGCAGGTGCACTGAGGTATAAAGATAAAATACACCTGGACTATTCAAAAGGGATGGGAGAGGGCAGGAAGACAGGAGATGTCAAGCAGTTCACCTCCGTGTCTGTCAATGGGAAAGACTGAAATATCGGCGGGGACTGTCTAGGATGAGATGACTGACACTTCTCAGCAGTTTGGCCTCAATTGTGCAAATCCCCCCTTTCACCTTTGGAATTGATCAGGATGGGACTTCAGTGGTCTCAGTTTGTAAAGAATCTACATTTCCAAACTGCCTTCTTATTTGCGGATAAAATGGGAACACTTCTCTGGCAACAGCACCAGCCTCAGAAAGAGACCTTTAGGAATCATGTTTTAGGACTCCTGTGATTTTAAGCACAGGCTCCTAGAACTCTATAGTCGTGTACACACACACACACACACACACACACACAACCAGGCCATCTCTGGGACAGGAGGACACCGCAGGTCCAGCCAACTCACATCTGTGTCAACTGACCCATGGCCTTGTACATCCCTTTTGTGTAGTTATATTATTGTTAACTTTCTTCCCTGAGTCTAACGTCACCAGATCTTGTAAGCTGCTTGAGGACAGCAGCTAAGTTACCCCTGGTGCCTTCCTATCAGCCATGTGTTCATCACTGTGGGCTTGATTGGGTTAATATCTCTCCTAGGTTCTCGGTGTGCAAGGGACGCCCCAGGATTTATAAGCAAGCACTACATAGTAGTTTATGGAAGACAGGGCTTTACAGATTCTGGAGAGGGCCTCATGCCACCTTTTCCTGGAAAAGTGCATGTTTTACCTTAACTGCAAACTGAGCTGGAAGTAAAAACATCTCAACAGTTGGCTTATAATTGAGGAGATAGTTCCCTCCCAAATGCTTCATAATGGGACAGCTGTGAAAAACACCAGGGGCACTATTTCCAGGAGAATTCTCACCCTTATGAATCTATCAGAGGAGAAGAATGAGCTTATAAATGGAAGCATCAGAGGGGCTTGCATTCACCTGGACCATAACTGCGAGGAGCATGTTTCTAATTCAGGATGCTGAAGCAGAGGGTTCTGCACAGTTACTAGAGACACTGACCATCTATGAGAGGATAGAGGAAAGAGCCTTGAACCCAGGGTGCCCAAGATTCAAATTGGGCACTGTGCAAAAAATGAACTAGCATGAAACATTTCTTGAAGTTTTGACGGGGATTTGAAAACAAAGTCAGCTTGTTCCATGTAAGTTCCTCATGGGAATCATGCTAAGCTCAAAGTCTGGGAGGTCTATGTGAGCAACACAAACTCCTGTTCTCCATGCCTGTATCACTGCAGACATCACTAATCGATCATGGCATCTTGCCCTCTTGAGCCTACACAAAGCTTCAAAACCCTCAGTGCCGTGCTCAGGCTGAAACCTGCAAGCAGGCAGAATTGGCATTCAAGAGAAAATCTACTTGTCATTTTTGATCTGGGTAATGCTGACGGTATCTCCTGGTGGGAAGACTAGAATCTGCATTATGTCTTGCCCGTCTCTCCCACACTGAAACAAGGCAGTAAGAAACGTGGCCACAAACGTGAGTGGATCAGCTTCCAAGGGCCATCTGTGACTTGAGGGACACATACTGCAGGAGCTGTCAAGGATGGCAGAGGAAGTCACATCTAATCGCCACCCCTGTCTCCTACTGCACCCTTCTTCACCCCAGTAGGTGGAGGAGGGTAGACAGTAGGAGCAAATAATTATGTATATTAGTTGATAAAATGGGATTATTTACTTTATTCAGGATGAAACTCTTCTTTGGCATAAACTCCAAGTGATAAGGAAAAAAAAAAAGAATTGTCTAGAAGGTAAGAATGGGTTTTATTCGAAATCAGATACTTGGGAAACCAGATTTAAAGTGTGACCTACTTAAATTACTCAGGGAAAAAATGGAAAATAGTCAGGTCGGAGAGTTCTCCGTATTTTTAAATGCAGCCTTTTTTCAATATGTTTGCTGCATGCCTGCTGGAATTGTGGTCCGAGATGCACAGCACTGTGATGTTTGCTGGCACTGCATGGGCTGGGCTGACAGCAAAATCAGAAGGCGGGCTTGTAAGAAGATGGGAGCTCCAGCAATTTTTTGCCATGAGGCAAAGTGCACATGAATGCCAGGTGAGTGCCCTCCAGTGGTCGCTGGGCTGTCTGCATGGAAACACCTAAGCACCTTCCCTCTGGGTAACAGACTCATTCTCAGATATATCTCAACCCAGAGCATCCCTGTACCTAAGGCTGGGACTCTTTCACATTGGAGAGGCTGCATGTAAAGGGGAGCCTCCTGTGTTAGTTGACTCTTCTGATACTTTCACAACCATGCAATCTACCTTATTTTTTATGACAGGTTATCAAAAGATAACTCTGACTCCATACCTTGCCAAGAAGTAAAACAAAGCAGAAGTGAAAAGAGCAAGGATGTCGGTGCTACAAAGATATGGGTCCAATACCCAGTCTGTCGTTTTTCCAGCAGTGGGATTTTAGCAAGATGACTGAATTCCTTACCTACTCAATTTCCCCTGTAATTTTTTTTTCTCTCAGCGTTGATGGGACGATTAAGTGAGATAATATGTGCAATGACTCAAAGCAGGAGCTGGCACCTGCTAGACAATTAACCGATGCTCCTTCATGAAGTTCCAAAACAAATCCCGACTTGAGGGGTTAACAAGAAATGCAGTATGTTTCAAGCACACGTGTGCATGCAAACAACACCACTGCCAGAAAAGCACCAGGTAATATTAAAAGAGTTCATCAGTTTCTCCCCCTAGTCCTCTCTGGTGGTGGGTGAGCACCAGTTCGGATTGGCCAGGAACCACATGCAAAGTGTTTTCTGTCGAGCTCACTCTCTCTCTCTCCTCTCTCTGATTCCTAAGGCTGGCGAGAGTAGAACATTGTGCATTCAAGCTTCTATTTGAAATTAATTAAAATGTTTGTACAAATTGACTATTCCTGTTTTACTAAATCTAGTAAATGGAAGCTTTAAGACTCCCGCAGAAGAAAAATAAATTACCGCTGCCACTAACGACTGACAAGTTAACAGGCGGATGACAAAAAAATGACACAATTTAGATTCACCTAAATGGTGTGAAGCTCATTTTAATGATCAAGCGAGAGCTCCCCCTCCCCAAGTTCTCGGTAAGGGAGGGGACGATTTTTCAGGGGTGTTTACTCGGCAGGAATGGCGACGCACTACTCAGAGCCGCTGTTTTTGGAGAAACAAATCCTTTCTACGCGGAGCTTGGGGTAGTGAGAACACCTGCAGGAAACGCAGAGGCTGCAGAGGAGGCTCCGCTAGGAAAGCAGGAGAGAAACCTGCAGGGTGACAAACCGCTGTGGGCGGGGCTGGTTGTGAAGAGGGGATCGTTTAGAAGTTATTTGAAAACGGACTCAAAACCCCTGTAGAAAAGAGACCTGAGAACGTTCTAACTGAACCTCACACTCCAGGTAAGTTGTCAAGATGGCAGTAACACCTGGTTGCCTCACATACCAGGAAGTCACCGAACACTGATGAACAGCAACCCCATAGGGTGTTTGTTAGCTGGGCGAGGTGACAGGGAACAGAATGGGAGACCGAAGTCTCCATCCCCCACCCCAAAGCAATCCAGGTGTGTCATGTGGGCCTCAGGGGCCACACAATCAAAACTCAGGGTTCCCAGCACCACAGCTGGATCTCCATTTTCTTTCAGTGTTGTGGACTTAACTTCAGTGCTGAGCACAACAGTGTTAGGAAAGGTCAGTGTCACTTCTAGCCGGATCTCTGCAATTGACAATTCATTTGGTAGGTAATGAAATTTGTCCTACTGTACCCTGAACTCAAAAATAAATTCCATGCAGAGATCTAAAGAGGAGAGAGAGAGAGAGAAAAAAAAAAAAAAACCCTATAAAAGTATTAGGAAAATAGTGAAGACTAATTTTATTTTCTTGGGTGAGAGATGGAAGACATAAATTTCGGAAACTCTGAAGAAGAGTGATCAGATCTGATTACATAGAATTTAAATCTTCTGTTTGACAAAGGATACTCGAAAAGAAAATTAAGTTACAAATAACACTGGGAAGAAATATTTGAAACGTGTTTGACAAAATAAAGTTGGCTATGCAATACAGAAGCAGCTCTTAAAAATCAATAAAAAGGGAACAAAGGAGTGAAAACCTGGGCAAAGGACATCAGAAGTGATATAGATTGCCAACAAAAGTATGACCAGATATTCAGATTCATTAACAACTAAGTGAGTGCACATAAAAATAGTGAGATGTAATTCTTGGCTTATCCTATTGGGGGAAAAAAAATTAAAAGGCTGCTCACCTCAGTGCTACCATGGCTGAAGGGGAAGCAGGCTCTGTCAAGTACACTGGTAGGGCCAGAAATCCTATGTGAATTTCAGGGAGATAATTTGTCACTTTATGGATAA